GTATCCCAGATACATGCACACAGGAGTTGCACTTGTCCTTGTTGGTTTTTATAAACATAGGGTTATATTAGATACAGTTTGTGATTGCTTTTGTATATCATTGTTATGGATTGAATGTTTGTGGCCCCCCTCCAAAATTCATATGCTGAAATCCTGACCTCCCACTGCGATGGCATTAGGAGGCGGAGCCTTTGGGAGGTAATTAGCTAATGAGGGTGGGGCTCTCATGAATGGGATTAGTGCCCTTGTAAAGAAGGTCCCAAAGACCCCTCTCACCCCCTCTACCACGTGAGGGCACAGTGAAAAGACTGTAGACTGTGAACCAGGAAGAGGGCCCTCACCAGACGAGGAATCTGCTGGCCCCTTGATGTTGGACTTCTCGCCCTCCAGAACTGCGAGAAATAACACAGGGTGTTTAAGCCATCCAGTCTATGGTATTTCTGTTAGAGCAGCCCAAACAGACTAAGACAACCACAGTTCTCCCTCCCAGTCAATACATCCAAAGCTATCTTATCTCTTTAATAGCTGCAAAATACTCCTTAGTATGGAGATACCAAAAGACACCGAAGCCACTGCCTGATCAGTGAATGTTCTGATAGTTTCCGCACCACTTTTTTCTATTTCCATTACAAACAATGCTGTGGAAGATTTCCATGATCAAAACTCCTAAGCTAGTGCTTTGTTTCTATAGAATAGAGGCCCAGATGTGGAGCTGCTGCACCCAAATTAATGTACGTTTAATTTTTGAAAACAGACACTGCCAGGTTACCTTCCCCAAAGAGGCTCCAAAGACACATTTCCAGCGGAAGTGTGATGAGTGTCTCCCATCCACAAGGGTGGCAGGGATGCGAAGCCGCCAGAACATTGATCACAAATATAATATTAAGCACCTTTTAAGTGGTTAAAAAAATTTACCAGGGAAAATCATACATCATTCTATTAGTGCCCTCAGCTGTGAGGACACAAAGAGTAGGCTTTGGAGATGGCAGGTGGGGGCAGGTTGGCGGGTGGGGGGCAGGTTGGGGGCAGGTGGGATTCAGGCCCACAGAACACTGCTAATGAGTGACAGTGACTAGCCTGGGGCCCCGGGGCACTGAGAGGGGCTAGCCAGAAAGTACTGTGAGACAAGGCGCTCTGGCGGAGAAGGCGGGGGAAAAGCAGTCAAATCAAGAAGACGTTACATTCCCCAGGGCGGAGCTACAAATGACCAGTGAGCGCATAACAAGACGCTCAGCATCCTCCGTCGTTAGGGAAAGGCAATCAGAACCACAGCAGGGTACCACTTCGCAGCCACGAGGATGCCCGTAATCGAGACAGGCAATAACCAGCGTCGGTGAGGATGCGCAGAAATCAGAACCCTCGTACGTTGCTGGTGGGACATGAAACGGCGCAGTTGCTTTGGAAAGCCGTTTAGCAGTTCCTCAGAAAGTTAAACATGGAGTTACTAGGTGACCCAGCAATTCCATTCCTAGGTACACAGCCAAGAGAACGAAAACATGTTCACACAAAAAACTTGTACACACGTGCTCAGAGCAGCATTATTCATAATAGCCAAAAGGTGGCAACTCAGATGCCCATCAGCTGGTGAATGGATAAACAAAATGTGGGGCATCCATACAATGGAGGCGTATTTAGCCCAATCTGACACTGAAGTACCTCTACCTGCCACAACACGGGAGACCCCTGAAAACATCACGCTAAGTGGAAGAATCCAGATACAAAGTGCCACATACTGTATGAAGCTCTTCATACAAAGTGCCCAGAATAGGCAAATCCACAGAGACGGAAAGTAGATTAGTGGTTGCCAGGGGCTGGGGGAGGGGAAATAGAGACGAACTGCTCGAGGAACTTCTTTGTGCCGTGATAAGAAATGTCCTGGGATCAATAGCGGGGATGGTTGCACCACCTTGCTAATATACTAGAAAGCACTAAATTGTACACTTTAAAAGGGTGAATTTTATGGTTTGTGAATTACATCTCAGTCTTGAAAATGAAGACATTTTATAAACAAACCCCCACACGGTGGGGGATGGGGTGGAGGGGGTGAACACCCAACCCCGGGCGGAGAGTCCACAGGGAAGACAGACGGCTGGCTTTCAAGCCAATGAAAAGATGTTCAGTCTCTTGAACAGCAAAATACAAGCAAAACGAAATTACAGCGGGAGTTGGCAGTCCCCCCACTAAACTGGTGAAAAGGGAGACACTCAGGAGCAAGCAGGGGAGAGACTGCGAGACAGGACAGCCACACCTATTGCTGGTGGGAGTGTAATTCGGCCGTCTCTTTGGAGGAGAACTCAGTAGTATACATCCATATTTAAAAATTCACAAACTCTGTGAGCTTTAGTTTCTACTTCTAGAATGCTGCCCTATAGATGTAAATGCCCAGAGGCACGAAGTTACATATAACACACACTGTCTGCTGGACTATTGTCGTGGTGGCAGAATGTCAGAGACAACCTAATTGCTTATCAGTAGGGACCTGTTGAGACCTGGTTAAATGAACGATCGCTCGTCCATACAACGCAATACTCCCCGGGCATTAACATGAGAGGGAGGCAGGAAGAGGCTGGTGACATTTTCTCCTCCTGTGGTTGCCAGTCCTGGCTGTGTATCGGAATCCTCTAGGAGCTTTTACCAGTTCAGATCCCTGGGCCTCAACCTCAGGGTCTCCTAGACAGAGGCTACAGGAGGGGACCTGGGCATCTAAGTTTTTAATAAGCCACCCAGGTAAGATATTGGGATATAATACAATGAGAAATACATATTTGGTCTTCATCCCTGTTTCTGGGACACGGCTTTAAAACTTAACTTTACGAGCCACGGGGATGACTTTTGTTTTTCATAACAAGCCAGCCCCTTTTTAACCACATCTGAGTTTCTATTAATGAGGTGACTTCTGAAAAGCCCTAAGGGTGGGGGCCCTGGTTGCCAGGAGGACAAGTCATATGATTAAAGGTTGGGACTTTCAGCATCAGCCCCCATCTCTGGGGAGGGGAGAGGGTGGGAGTCTTGAGTTTCATCTCCAGTGGCCAGTGACTTAATTAAGGTGCCTACCTAGTCAAGGATCCACAAAAGTCCCTAAAGGACAGGGTTCAGAGAGCTTCTGGGTTGGTGACCACGTGGAGGTCCTGGGAGGGTGGTGTGTCCTGAGAGGGGACAGAAGCTCCACTGCCCCCAGGATCCGCCCTGCCTCCCACCCCTACAGCTCTCCCCGGGCACCTCTCCCATCTGCCTGCTGCTGAGTTACATCCTCTTATAATAAACTGGTAATCTAGTAAGTACACTGTTTTCCTAGTTCTGTGAGCCATTCTAGCAAGTAACTGAACCTGAACAGGAGGTCATGGGAACCTCTGATTTGTAACCACACAGGACAGAGGTTGTGGGTAACCTGGGGACTCCCCATGTGCAACTGGCAACTGAGGTAGGAGGAAGTCTGGTGGGACTGAGCCCTTAACCTGTGGGAACTGATGCTAACTCTTGGTGGATGATGTCAGAACCGAACTGAATTATAGGACACCCAGCTGGGGTCACAGAACTACTTGGTGTGGAAAACCCACACATCTGCTGTCAGATGTGGTGTGAGCAGCAGAGCGCAGAGAGGGGAAACAGAGCAGGTGTTTTTTTCTTATACTAGGAAAATTTAAAGCCTCCAGAACCGATGATATGATTCATCACCTCACTGTTCAGAAGAAACTGAAGACCAGAAACTTACATGTAAATGACAGCAACCATAACCACCATGTAATCGTGACAGCTAACAAATACAGAGCACCCACTCTGTGCCAGGCACTGAAATATGCTTTCATTGTATTTGATTCCTATACTGCAGGTACTATTATCATCCCACTTCACAGACAAGGAGGCTGAGGTTCAGAGAAGTTAAGTAACTGGCTCAAGGTCACACAGCTGGTAGGTGGCAAAACCAGCAGTCTGATTCGGCGTTCCTATCCTCAACCACTAGGTTATACTACCTCTTCTTATGTAATTTATAGGTATCCTTCACATAGTAGAACTTAGTCACTTTTGATGCTTCTAATTTATAGGCTTCTACTCCAGTATAAAAATCAAATAGGTAAGTACACTGTCCAGTTTTAACACTGCCCTCATGCAGAGAAAATTCTGTTGTCTTCAATACTTTGTTTTTTTTCGGGGGGGATTCTTAAGACGCTTTGGGGGGGGGATTCATAGAACGCTTTGTGAATGATTTCCTTGAGTCCTCTCAGCAAATCTGTGATGTAGCTGTTCATATCCCCACTTTAGAGATGGGAAAACTGAGGCTTAGAAAACCAAATGACCTGCTCCAGACCACACAGCTAGTATGTTGCAGAGCAGGGATTTCAATCTTGGTCTGTTAGACTCTGAAGAGGCCAGCCTTAGTTTTTACTTTATTGCTTTTAACTTATCTGTTGTAATCCTCGGCTTTCCAAACATACATACACAAGAAAAGTAAGTATTGTCAAGACTTGAATTGCCCTCCCCCTACCCCAGAAGATGAAGTCCTAATCCCCTAGTTCTTGTTCGGAAATAGAACTTTGCAGATGACCACGTTAAGGTGGGGGCGGTTGGGGTGTGCCCAATTGCATGTGACTGTGTCCTTATAAAAGCAGGAAGTTTGGACACAGCGACAGACGTGCGTAGAAGGAAGATGCTGGGAAGACACAGTGAGAGCACCACTTAGAAGACGAGGAATCTGTGAGGCTCCCTGCAGCTGGGGCAGAGGCAGGGGACAGAGCCTTCCACCTGGTTCTAGGAGGCGCCAACCCTGCCGACACCTTCATTTCTGACTTCTGCCCCCTACCATGGTGAGACAATAAATTTCTGTTGTTAAGTCACCCGATTTATGACACTGTGTTTGCAGCCCCAGGAAGCACACCAGTGTCTTTCACATGCACCTGTGGCTTCAACTCTTCGATTTTGTTTCACCATCAACAGAATCAGCAGCCCCTACCCTTCCCCCACCCCTCATCCCCTAGGAGGAACAGTCCCGGCGTTACACTGACCTTCATCATACTGTTGAACAGGGTGGGGCTGTGAGACCACCAGCATCCCGTTTTGATGACACTCGCTCTCAGGCATCACCTGGAAGAGAACACGGGGCAGTGTTAAGCGAGTCTTTTGAGAAAAATCAGATGAACTCAAGGAAGAACCTCAAGGCCACAAGGGCGTCTCACAAAATTAAACTTAATTTCAAGGCTGCACTTCCAGAAACTACCCCGCTTTCTATCACGCCTCAGAGAAACTAAATAACCTGCTCCAAGGACTGGATTCCTGTGTTGATGAGAGCTTTCCACGGTCGATGTCTCATTTCAGTGAGCCCCCAGCACAGGGAGGACGGTCCCCCTCATACAACTGGGACACACGGGCAAACTGGGGCACTGGTCTGACCTGCCAGGATCAAGAACTTGCAGATTTCAAACCCTGCGAGGTTCCCTGCGAGGTTCCTTGCGCTCGCTGTCCTGCAGCAGGCCTGTTCTGTTGTTTATTGCAGCCATCAAAAAAGAGTGAATGTATATATATACAAAATAGATACATATGTAAAATGTATACATACTCACACAAAAATGTATACATATACACGCAGACACAGACTGGCAAGGAAAGAAAAAAGGAATGCATGTTACATAATGTCATTTTAAAAATAAAATAAATGGTACCCTGAGTAGTTGGCATCAATTGGATATTGATTATATGCTAAGTGCTTTGTTTAGCCTGTCTTATTTTGCTAATACGACTTAGTAGTATAATACATGTTAATAAATTCGGAGAGGAAAAAAAAACCTGAAAGACTAAATACCAACCTCCCGATGATGGGAAACTCCTAGGGGCGATATGGACGCCTTCTCCTTTCTTTACATTTTTGTAAGAGTTTTGTTTAAAATAAGCCTGTGTTCTTGAATTTATCATTAGTCCTACCAGGAAGTCATAAAATCTAAATATCAAACCCATGTGATCATTTGGCTCTGAGGTCACACTGGCACCCCTGGGGTAGCACTTGGTGTGCAAATTTGATTTCTTTGGCTCACAGAGGGTTTTTTTTTTTTTTTTAGTACTTTGGAATCAGTTGCCAATATTTAAAAATCAAGTTTCATTATCACTGTTTTCCAGCTCCTAATGAAAAACAAGGCCCTGGGACCACGCTGAGGGTGCAGTCGGCCAGAGCCAGCCTTCTTCAAATGCGCTTCACACTCCTGCCTTGCTCATTTCTATTACTCCCTGGCCCCTGGAGGCCAGAGGCTCCCAGGCCCAGAATCATTCGGGGAGCCTGAGAAACTGCTGGTGGCTGGGCCCACACCCAGAGGCGTGTTTTAGTTGGTCTCAAGTGGGGCTGGGCATCAGAAGTTTTCAAAATTTCCCAGGGAATTTTAACACACAGTCGGGTTTGAGACCAACTTTGAGTTTTCAGCCCATGTCTCCAAACCCGACCTTCCATCCTGAGCAGGAATGCCCTGACTTCTGACCAATATTCATGCATAGGGATTACCTCCTCCTACAATGATTTCCATCTTCACCTGGGCTCTAGGGCTGAAATGGAATTGACTGCCGAAGCACTGATGGTGGAAACTTAGGTTTTCTGCAACTTGCTTGTAGATCTATGATCTCAGGGGAAACATTTGGGTGTCCCTGGCCTCGGCTCTCCAGAGCGGTCTTCTACAGGGGGGATCTGCAAACAAGTTCTCAGCCCTGGCTGAACATGCAGCAGCTGAGGAGCTTTGAAAATCGAGATGCCTGCCCTCGTTCCCACACACAGATTCTGAGTTCTTTGGTCTAGGGTACCACGCCAACCTCGCAATTTATTTTGAAGCTTCCCAGATGAGTCTATTGTTCAGCCACGGTTGTAAGTCACTGATAGAAAACTGGGTTTCTCATCCTCTCCACTGTTGATCCTTTGGGCTGGGTCATTCTTTGTTGTGGGAATGTCCTGTGTGTTGCAGGGTGTCCATCCGCATCCCTGGCTCTAGTAACTAGATGCCAGTAGCACTACCCGAGTTGTGACAACCAAGAAGCATCTCCAGACACTGCCCAGGTTCCCTGGTGGTGAGGCAAAATCACCCACAGTTGAGAACCACTGGTCCAAACCCACCTGACACCAGGTATCAAATTGTCCCCATAGGAATCAGTCACCATGGGGGTGCTTAGAGACACAGGATCCACAGGCTCCCAGCCCAAGAGCCTGCACTTTTAACAAGCTCCTTGATGGGTTCTGGAGGTTGGACCACAACTGAACAAGCCATGGGAAAGCAGTGAGGCATCACTCACGTCTGTGTGATGAGCCCTGTTGTTTATCCCGCCGTCATCCCCGACTCCACCTGCTAGTAGCCAATGACCCTGTGGGAACTACGCTACCTTGTGAGTGTCTGTATCCAACTCATTCTCTTGGTCCTCAAGTCTTTGGGGAACACTCATTTGGTTACCCATTGTCCCTGCAATAGAGAAAAAGAGGGAGAGACACAGAAAATGTAAAACCCAAGACAAACAAAAGTCTCACTCCAAACTAACGTGCAGAGATCTGTCGTGTTACTATGGGTGTGTTACCACAAGCCCAAGGCAGTTGTTTTGGGAAATGAGAGGAGGTTTGAGGCTCATATATTCAACAGAATTAAAGTCAAATGCAGCCTCGACTTTTAACTGCATTTCATTTTTGGGGGGATATTATCATCATGGAAAGTATATTCGGTGCAGATAACATTTTCTCCCTTTTTGGCCAATCACAGCTATGATACCGAGGAGGTTTTAGAATGAGGACAGTTAAAATAATACTTATAATTTTTAGTATTCTCTGACCCTCAAACTAAATTAGGTCCCCTGTTAAAACCTCTCATAGCACTGGCATTTTTTTTGTTTGTTATGTTTTGTTTTGTTTTTCATAGCACTTAGCACTATTTGTAATTACATATTTATTTGGCTATATTTTCATTCATTTATTGATTCCACAGATACTAAAGATGCAAAAAATATTGAAAACCAATTCTGCATCTTATGCTGTGCTAGGCAGTAGGGTCAAAGTTGTGAATTTAAAAAGATAAGGCCCCCTGACTTCAAGGAGGTACAATCTGGTGGGTTGACAGGCAATAAACAAATAGACAATAAATCCACAAATCAGGCCATTTTCAATAGTTCAAGGCAGCATGGTGCAGTGGTTACAGGCACAGACCAGGAGCAAAACAACCTGGCTTGAACCCTGTCTCTGCCCCTCACTGCTGTGTGTCCTTGGATGTGTGTCCTTAGCCTCTCTGTGCCTTACAGGACGGCTACATGGCCACAATGAGTTAGTTCTTATAAAGTGGTTACAACAATGCCTGGCTCTTAATAAGCAATCTATGAGTGTTTGTTAAATAAAATACGTAGGATTCAATGTTATAAATAAAAGGAAAATGGTAGCGTAACAGGTGGGGGGCCGTGGTGGAAGGCAGGAGGTGGTAGATAAGATGGTTCTGGAATGAAGTAATTGATCCAGAGCAAAACAGAATATTGAACTTCTGTCTCCCTTTCCCAATAGATTGTAAGCACCACGAGGGCAGGAACTGTCTGTCTTTACCCATCGTAATATCTCCTATTCTCAGCACTGCATCTGCGTTAATTAGATGCGACATTATTACTTATTAGTTGAGTGGAGGGAACAATCGTTCGTAACAACCCCTGACCCGGCAGGCGCTGAACTACGCACTTCCCCCCATCATCACTAAACCCTCTCGAGGGCCTCGCTGTAACAGTAAAGAGAACAGTAAACATTTATTCAGCCTGTTCTCAGCTCCAAGCCCTGTCTTCCAAGCGTGTTTCCGGTCTGGTTGCTGGTAGCCCTACGGCGCCTTGTGTAACAGGTGTCACCATCATCTCATTTTAGACGGGAGGGAGGAAGCTGAGTCACAAGGAGGTTAAATTTCTTTCCAAAGGTCAGCCGCTAATGACGGCAGAAGCAAGATTCAAACACAGGCTGCCTGTGCTCCCAACCGCTGGAATGTTCCACATACCGTGGTCTCCCAAACTCACCCAGGACACACATCCAGAAAACAGCCAAGTGAGGATCTGACCCAGCGTACGTCTGGCTCCAGAGGTGGGGCTCTTTTAGGCACGTCAAGCTGCCTTACTCCCAAAAGCTTTTCTCACACACATTCCCAGGTAGCCCCTCTCTAAAGACCTGGCTGCTGGCCCGTCTGCCCTGGTGGCTCTCAGAAGAACAGCCAGGGCTTTTGATTTCTGGCTGAAAGCAGCCAGTGCATCTCCAAGGATTCCCACGGGCCTCTGGCTCACGGTATGAGTTTTTGTGACCTGGTAACAGATTCGAGTGATCAGAAATTACGGAGGCCAGGAAAGGGTCACAGATCTCACCACCTGCTTTCTCGGGGGAACTTGGCAGATGGCAGAATCTGGGGATTTTATATGTGTGCTAATTGAAACATGTAACAAAGCTGAACAGTGCGAAAGCGTACAGGACACTAGTTGTGTAGCAATATTTTGTATTTATAAAATCCAGAATATGCATACTTACAACAGGCTATCACTTCATGTACAAATGGGACATTAGGAATATAATATTGAATAGTCAAGACTGGGGGTCAGCAAACGACAGCTGTGGGATAAATTCAGCCTGCCGCCTGTTTTAGGATGGCCAGGGGCTAATGGGTTTTACATTTATAAGTGGTTGGGGAAAAGAATCCAAAGAATCATAGATTGTGACACATGAAAATGATATGAAATTCAAATTTTGGTGTCCATAAATAAAATTTTATGGGAAGACATCCACGTCCATTCATTTATGTACTTTCTATGTGTGGCGGCTTTCACGTGCAGGGGCGGAGTTCAGTAGGTGCAACAGAGACCAGATGGCCTTCAGAGCCTGAGCTATTTACTGTCTGGCCCTTCCCAGGAAGTTTATCCATCCTGCCTAAGATCACCCCAGATAACATATACCCATTTTGCAAATAAGGAGACTGAAGCAGCTGAGAGATTAAGTGATGCCCAAAGGAAGACTGACCAGGATTTGAACCTATGTGTATAAAAATAATGACCACAACAACTCTAATAACCATAAAATAAAATAATATTAACAACAAACTTGGTGAGAAACTGTTCTTTAAGCTTTACTTGCAGTAAGCTGATTTATTCCTTACAGCAAATCAACAAGACATCACCATTCCAATTTTACAGATGAGAAAACTGAGAATCGTAGGTTAAATGCCTCGCCCAAGGCCACTCGCAAAAATGTATACACACTGGAAGATGCCTCCAGCTAAATCCAACTTCTTATAAAATTAAAAATTATTTACCAATGGGGTTTACAGATTTTTAAAGTTCCTATTATTCAATTTATATTTAATCCAATTTGGGGGCTACTTTCTTTTTTTTTTTATTGATTTATAATCATTTTACAATGTTGTGTCAAATTCCAGTGTTCAGCACAATTTTTCTGGGGGCTACTTTCAATACAAATATTTGAGGCTATGAAAAATCCTTGGACTGGGAGAGGTGTCACGTGTGCAGGCAAGAGAGAAACTTTTCCAGCCCACAGAGTTCGAATTCCTTTATCCGGAACATTGCATGTTTTAAGAAGCCCCTTGGCAAATTCGAGGCCAAATGGACTGAAAGAAGGAAAATCCATTTGCATGCGTCTTGCAGGGACAACTTGGATTCAGATAATAATTGCTTTCCACCAGCAGTTATAACATACGTGTTGTGAAATTGCTCCTGCCCTTTCTTCAAGTTTTGTGATGAGCCAGATTTCTGTGTCAGAAACAAATGGTTACTGCCACCTATTGGTCAACATCAGTATTGGCAGAAATGAAAGTATTCAGCCTACAGGGTGAGGTCAAATGTCTTGGGGGGGGGGTGAGTCCAAGGGAATGCTTTTACGTTTAGCAATTAAACCTTCTGTCAAAAGTTGGCAAGAGAGTGGCAAGTCCTTCCTCTAATGCCCCCAAGATGGAACAACTAATAAGACAATGATAGTGATCAAATCTGACTTGTATGCAGGGTGCCCCCTGTGCCAGCCCAGTGCTGAGAAATCTAGGAAGAGAGTGGGGTGGCAGACAGGACAAGAATGTGGGCTCTGGAGACAGAGCACCGAGCTGGAATTCCCCGCTCGGCCATAAACTGAATGAGTGACCCCTGGCAAGTTGCTGAGCCTCCCTGGGCCTCAGTTTCCTCTTCTGTAAAATGGGGACAATCAGAGCCACTGAACAGGTTGTTGTGAGAGTCAAAGGAGTTCATACAGGGAAGGTGCCCCAAGCAGGATGTGGCACACAGTGAGTATCCTGCAGGTGCTCAGAAGGACCGTCATGATCTGCATGGGCATTTTCCGTCAGTCTCCCACGAAGCGCCTGATACAATCGACTCAAGAACTTGGCAGCACTTCAGATTCTCACTGTCGTCAAACCAAACACGGGGCCTTGGGTCTGTATTTTTAGCAGATGCACACAGGTGAGTCTCAGGATCAGGCATGCATGGGAAACACCGTGGTGGCAGCATGTGTCCAGGTCATCCTGGGCGTGATGCATTCTGGGATGCAGGACTTTCCTGTTAAGCTGGTAAAGTCCCGGGCAAGCCAGGATGTGTGATCACCCCGGAAGCCGGGTCAGGGACTCTGTGAGGCAAGGACTCTTTTTATTCCCACTTAACAGATGGCAAAACTGAGGCTCCAAGTGGTCCAGACCATAATCCCTGTCTGTGATGAAGTTTTCTCTAGTCTCCAATAAAGGAGAAACATAAATCAGATGATAAGTTTTTCAAGAAAAACATTCTTTGAAAGAGCTAGGTCTTATTTTAAAAAAAAATAAGTTTAAAGGTGATGCCAAAATGCCCTTTTTTAATGAACCAGCGGTTTTAGCTGTTTTGTTTTTATGACCTTATCTGACATTAAACACAAGCCTCCAGACAACAGAGCGGTTTTGTTTTTGAAATTGGACTCGTGTCTGAAGGCCTAGTGTCAGGGTAAGTTTTTGGCTGGGGGTCATCCGCCTGAGAAAATCCCTTTATTTCTTCACTTCCCAGCCATGTCCTTGAGGCCAGTCTTCAAATTGGGTTACACACCAGAACCACCAGTGGAGAATTAGATCCCGGTGCCCAGGCCCCAGCCAGACTGATTCCATCAGATTCTCCGGGGTGGGGCCTGGGGACTGGAATATTTTCAAGATCTCTAGGTGACTTCCATGACAGCTGAGGCTGGGAGGCGCGGTTTTGTATATTCTGGAGCAGTGAGCATCTCCGGGCCGGGGTCTCTCCAGGACGCCGGCCACCCTGAGACACAGACCCAGGCTCTAGACCCTCAGATGGGGCAGGACCTCGGTCTTCAAAGCCCACAAATCACAGTCAGCCTCAAGCATCTGAAAACACTCCCAGCCCTTTCAAAGCACTCCTTTCGGGACCCTCTGTTTTGTCAACCTGCATATCAAGACGCTGGGATGTTTGGTTCCAGTTATTCAGAACT